GGGTCTGGAAGCTCAAAATATTTTATTGAATAGTTTCAAGGGCAAACCAAAACTTTTTTAAATTTCATTTTTTAGATGATTTTTCTTAATATAAGGTCTTACCTTAATATTTTCTGAAGAGAAAAAGAAAAAAATAAAGTAGCAGAGGTTCAGGAACCACGGCAAGACAAAGCCAACTGCACTGGTCAAATGAATGGCGTCGATGGAAGTGTGGCGGCCCTAACTTCTTAAACCTGTCATTTGATTTGAAGGTTTCTAGTCAGTTCCTCGGCTTTGCTCGAAGCCTTGATAAAGAATAATGAATAACGCCCCACACCTACTGCGCTTCCTCAAGCTCGGTGTCTCAAGAACAAATGGTTCTTTTTCAAACTCTTTATCTTCTAAACCGAAGCTTCTTTTTATGTTTGAGTAGATCTAATCTTACGTTGTAGAGAAGTAGATCTTCGTTATGGTGGTTGTTTATGGAAATTAAATCTATATATCGACTGGAAGAAAGATAAAATGAAAGCCAAAAACTCGATCTTTCAGATGCATCTTTCAACCACCAGAAGTCACATCGTACGGATAGGTTTAAGAGATGTGACTTCTGGTGGTTGGAAGATAATAATATGGATCTGAAAGATCGCGTTTTTGACTTTCGTTTAATCTTTCATGATATCGGTTATAACGTACTCAGAAAGCAAGCACATCATCAATATTATCAATGTAGGTAGGCCTTCGTTTAACATTTTACTTTTCCAAAATATTGGTGAACAATATGAAATAAACATAGAACAAAGATTCCAGGTACTAGGGTTCGTCTCAATTCAAAGCATAAGCAACAAATCAAAGAAGCACCCAAGCTTGCTCTTTTGTCCGTTCATGCTACTTCTTCCTGTGACGACAGTGTGGTCAGTTGACTGAAACAGTTTCCGCGTGACCAGTTCCATTTCCTGGGCTCGCGACAAGACCACCAGTCTTGGAACGCTCACCCGTGTTCTCGGATTCCTGTAGGAAATGCCTTCCCGATCAGTCCGGACTGAGAATGTAAATTGGGAGACAATGAAATGAGACAAGCAAATGATTCCGTAAAAGAAACCTCTAGAAGCTTGAAATGAGAGCGAGAGACAACGCCAAGCGTCTAACTCTCGATATAGGAAGAGCCAAGACCATCTCTTGGAAGGTGGTTGCATTTTGTTCCACTATTTATCTTAATTCCGTCGGTCCTGTGGGGACATTAGTTTCTTATCAGCACAATTGAGTCATCTTTACCTAAGCACGATGGAAGTACCCAGTAATCGAAATTACGTTCCCCAGAAGGAGAATAGTATTGACCTAGCAATTTGAGTTTTGTCGGCGTTTTGTGGAGGGTTTTTTCTGGCATGGTCTTCACTCGGGGGGATGATGAGTCGGAATGTTCGAGAATAAGCCAGAGACTTTTAATCTGTTTATGCGAAATGATGGTGGACACGAGAGGTATATGGCAGAGTACATCGGGTGTTTTATATGGAGGTTTGTAGTGAAAACATGCTCAGTAATAAACAGTAATCATTATTTGTCTCCCCCTAACAACTAATGTTTCTGTCTGTCTGTCCGTCCGTCTGTCTGTCTGTCTGTCTGTCTGTCTGTCTGTCTGTCTGTCTGTCTGTCTGTC